ACACTAACTGGAGGCCTAACTTGGTGCTCATTCATATCAACTACGTAAACAATATTAAAATTATATTAAAATAAAAACAAACAAATTACATTTAAAAATTATATTAGGGCCTGACACGGTAGCCTAGTGGCTAAAATCCTTGCCTTGAATGTGCCAGGATCCCACATGGGCCTCAGTTCGTGTCTGGACAGCCCTGTTTCCCATCCAGCTCCCTGCTTGTGGCCTGGGATACCAGTCAAGGACGGCCCAAAGCCTTGGGATCCTGTACCTGCGTGGGAGACCTGGAAGAAGCTCCAGGCTCCTGGCTTCAGATAGGCTTAGCCCTGGCTATTGCAGCCAGCTGGGGAGGGAACCAGTGGATGGAAGATCTTTCTGTCTCTCCTCTCTGTAAATCTGACTTTCCAATAAAAATAAATCTTTAAAAAATTTAATGTAGCTTATAATTGCACAGATATAACAACTGCTACGTATTGTGTATGTGTTAGTAAATAAGCATGCCTATCTCTGACTGGAAAATATTACTCCTGTTTGCAGTCTGAGACTTCTGCCTCATCCAATCACCCAAGGTCAGGTGGTTAACTTCTGTGTACCTGGGTCTCCTCATACCAAGCCAGGATAACAACACCTGTTTTGATTTAAGTCGCTAGGAGTTTGCATGAACTAAATGTTTGCACTTCATGGTAAGCCACATAGCAAAGAACATCAATTATATTATTTATATTTAAGTACATTATTGCTTTTAAAATAAATACAATAACCCTAGAAGCTATGGAACTACATCATAAAACAAAATGTTTAAAAAACAAAAAATAAATACAATAGAAACATTAACTTCATGCTGCTAAAAAAAAAAAAAGAATATTTTTCACTCACCTAAGGAGAGTGAAAAGAGGAAACGGATGGAAAGGGTGCCTGCTAAAATACATTGCAAGGGCAGACGTGGTAAATGATCGTCTCCTTTGTGCCAGGCCGAGCTCGGGGGAAGTGAGGGAGACCATTCTCCCCTTCCCAACCTTTTACACAGTGACTCACAGACTACTGACCTTAGACCCCGAGGGGGCAGAGTGCTGGCAGAGGTGCCTGTATCCAGGCAATACACAACACATCAGCTGGGTTCTGTCAGTTACAGCGGGGCAGGATCCGGCGTACTCTACAGCTTTTACATAGCCTGAAATGACAGTAGGGGACAAATGGGTTGGGGATCCCCCATTCTGAAGGGGTTCCCCTGGTAAACATAAGGGGGAATTCCCTTGAACCCTAACTGTAAATATAGGGGTTCCAGGCGAGAACAGATCCCTGATTGCTGGTGGGAGGCTGGGAGAGGTGGGGGAATTCCTAAAAACTCCCTGTGCGGGGCAGGAGATCCCCTTGCGTCACTCAAGTTCCCTTATCACAAGGTATTCTGAGAGGTGTGTGACTGCGAGGGCCTTGACACAGGCCTCTGCTCTGACCTCCCCGCGGGGTTCGGGAGAGGGCAACCGGGCACACACAACAAGGGACAAACCTGTGACTACACACGTACATACAAACACACACCGAGGCCTCGCAGTCACACTTCTTCCTGATGTTTGGGTCTTAGGATTTGGGGGACCTAGAAGCTCAGTCATCTGCCTGCACCACTTGAACCCAGCGTCATTCACCCGTTATCAGTCCATGCTTAAATCTGCTCCAGGCAGGAGATAGCACATACACTACACATCTGAGGAAAATGCAGTGCTGACACCACGAGCACGTTATGAATTCAAACATTTGCAGGTGATGTTGGGCAATATTAAAAAGCAAAAATAACAAAATTAACATAAACTTAGATAGTGGTAGTTATGTATAAGACAAGAACCAAAAGATTTGAATTTAAGTGCTGGAAAGAAAAAACTTAAACTTCAATTTTTTTTAAAAAAAAAGATTTACTTATCGTTATCAGAAAGGCAGATTTACAGAAAGAATGAGAGAGAGAAAAAGATCTATCCACCAATGGAACATCAGCCAGAATGGAGCTGATCCGAAGCCAGGAGCCAGGAGCTGCTTTGGGTCTCCCATGTAGGTGCAGGCTCCCAAGGACTTGGGGCCATCCTCTACTGCTTTTCTGGGCTGGAAGCAGGGACCTGGATGGGAAGCGGAGCAGCCAAGACACAAACGGTGCCCCATGGGATGAGCCAGTTGAACTATCGTGCTGGCCCCTCAAAACTTCAGTAACTTTCTTCTTTTGTGGAGGAGAGAGGTGTGGTGATTGGAAAGAAATACATTACTGAATATATTTAAAAGTGCCAAGGATGGGGAAAAATACTGACAATGGATTAAGGGCAAAACACGCTATTAGTCTATTCCTTCACACGAGGCACTAGTAATATGCAGTCAGAGTATGTAGGAATTGTCTACATTCTCTCGGGCCCAGAGCAGGTTCAGGTCACAAGCTCCCCATGTCTGAAGCTTTCCAACAAGTGAAATGAAATAAAGCAGGACAAGAACAGGGCAGCAGAATCCTACAGCAGAGGGCCTCTGGTCCTTGATGGCCTGGGTGACAGCATGCCTAAGAGCAGGGCAGGAGTCGCTTCTCTATGTAAAACTTCCATGTAATCCAGGCGGTACAATTAACGTTCTCTGTTTGATGTACAAGCTTGTCCCTTGCCAAACGACCGTGAATTAGGTGAAAGTTGTCCCCAGTAAATCTCTCTCTATAATCAATACATAGTGGGTCTGGATGAGCAGATATTAAGAGATATTAGAGACATTAAGACCAATGACATTTTATGTGTTCAGAAAAATTATTTTGTTTTCTAATTTTGAAAAATATGCTATAGTCCACATAAGTTCAAAAGTGTTAAGCCCTTTTGTTATTTTAGGAATAGGAAAAAAAAGTGTCTGAAGAAGAATTATAAGGCTGGAGGCTGTGAAAACTGCTAATTCACACACTTTATAAGACATAATTTTACATTAATATATAAAGGATAAGCCTCTTCCAGAGTCCCTTTCACCAGATGATCTTTCATGAGAATACATGCATATTTTCATCAATATGCATATTCTGAATAAATTATTTATATTATGTTAAAAATCATCTTGCCATATAAAGGTCCGCTTTTCTCAACAATTATCCTCAACGTGTTTTATATTCTTTTGCGATTCAACTTGTAATTGATGTGCTTTTAAAGAGTAAATAAAAGGTCTCTCCCACTAACTGAGAACATCTTTTTTTTTAAATGTGAAACTGGCTTAAACCACAAACACACACACACTTGATTTATCTGATCGTGTAAAGCAATAAATGAGACTAAACACTGTAGTCTCCGCAACATAAAGCATCTTAAAACATTTTTTTTTTAAGTGATGAGTGTTAAGGACTCTAAATCGTAAAACGTTACAAGTGAAAAAAGTCGACCAGGGTTTATCACCACAGGGCCTACATTCCCCAGCTCAATCAGTTCTAATCACTCTAAATTCCATATACAATGTAAACAGCCTTTTTTTTTTTTTTGCGTTGGGGCACAGCGTCCAGGGAGCCGAGCTTCAGGTCCGTGTGAGCAGCCTCCTCTCGCGGCTGGGGAAAACCCTGCCTAATATTTATAACGTTATGACATACTGTAATACTCACAAGGTGGTTGTAGAAGTATAAACACGAGCCCCGTCCTCTGATTGGCTGCTGGTGATGTAACACCCATGTCAATACTTCCCAGTGAACGCACGTGTTCGACCTTTTATTTAAATTTCCATTTCATCACAGCAATAAGACACTCGGGGCGGTGCGTTTTTCTGCGAAATGACTATCTCTCTGCCCGGGGCCTGAGGTGCTGCCTCGCAACACACAATGCATCCCTGGCAGGAGGTGGTCCGCGGCTTGCCACCTCCTCGCGTGAAAGGCACTCGCCCTGGTCCGGTCTTTGTCAAGGGACAGCCTAAGTTCACTTCCCAGGGGCACCGCCACCCTCGCCTCTGCCCCCCTCGCGACACACGCACTCAGCCCCCTTCTCCTCGCCACCCACAGCCCCCCAGCACCAAATGACAAGGCTGGAGCGCAGCTTCCCACCGCCAACAGCTATCCGCAAAGTCCCAGGTGAACTCGGTGGCGAGAGGAGGAAAAATGCGCGTCCCGGGCGCCGGGAGGTGCGTGTGGGCAGCGGGGAGGCGCCCGGACCCTGACACTCGCCAGCTGTTTGTCCTCCGCGCGCCCGGGGCCCCTCCCCGAGACCCCCGGCCGGCCGCCCGGCCTTTTGTCCCCCGCCCCTCGGCCCACTTCCTTCCCCCCGGGCCGGAGGCGCGGCCCGGCCCCTTTCCCGGTCCCCGGGCGCCCCCACCCCACCCCAGCCCAGCCCCAAGCCCAGCCCCCCTCCCCCAGCCGGCCCCCACCCTTTCCCCCTCCAGCGGTTACTGCTACCCCGGTGCATTGTGGGCGCACGGTCCGTTGTTCATTTGCCATTCGACCTCCGCCAGGGCCTGGTCGGACGGAAGCGCTCCGCCGGCTTTATTGTCGGCTGGTTATGTGGCGGAGCCGGGCAGTTTAACGCGCCTCTCGTCCTCAGCGCGTCGGGAGCCGGCGGCGGCGGCGGCGGCAGCGGGACTGCTCGGCGCGCCGGAGGAAGGATATCAGTTTGGAGAGGATCGGTGTGTGCGCGCGCGGCTTTAAAGAGGGGCAAGCGCAGAGGGGCTCCCCGCACTCCGCCGCTCAACTTGGAAGGCCCCACGCGCCCCGGCTCGCTCCTCGGCTCGCTGCTCGGCTCTCCGCCGGCCGCCCCCTTCTCCGCGCGGGACGCAGCCCGCAGCGCGGCGGGGCGGGGGTGGAGGACGCGGAGCGAGGGGCCGGCGGCGGCGGCGGCGGCGGGGGCAGCGGGAGCGGCGGACGCGTGCGGCAGCCCCGGGCGCGAGCGCCAGCCGGGGCGCGGGGAGGGCGAGACCGGAACGCCGGGGGCGGGGGCGCCGCGCAGGGGGAGCGGCGGGGAGCGCGCGGGACGCGGCCCGAGGCCGGGCGCGAGCCGGGGCACCGGGCGGCGGCGGCGGCGGCGCGCGCCATGTCGTTCAGTGAGATGAACCGCAGGACGCTGGCGTTCCGAGGAGGCGGGTTGGTCACCGCCGGCGGCGGCGGCGGCAGCAGCAGCAGCAGCGGCGGCGGTGGCGGCTCTACGAACAATAACGCTGGCGGGGAGGCCTCGGCTTGGCCTCAGCAGCCGCTGCCAAGACAGCCGCCGCCGGCGCCGCCCGCGCTCCAGCAGCCCAATGGGCGGGGGGCCGACGAGGAAACGGAATTGGAGGGCCTGGAGCCCCAAGACCTGGAGGCCTCCTCCGCTGGGGCCGCCGCCGCAGCCGCCGCCGCTACCGAGGACGCCAAGGAGTTGCTGCTCCCCCAAGACGCGGGCGGCCCCACCTCGCTGGGCGGCGGTGGCGCGGGGGGCCCCTTGCTAGCGGAAAGGAACCGTCGGACTCTGGCCTTCCGAGGCGGCGGCGGCGGCGGCAGCGGGGGTCTCGGCAACAATGGCAGTAGCCGCGGCCGGCCCGAGACCTCGGCGTGGCCCCTGAGGCATTTCAATGGACGAGGGCCGGCGGCCGCGGAGCTGGAGCTGGACGCGCTGGAGGGGAAGGAGTTGATGCAGGACGGCGCGTCCCTGAGCGACAGCACCGAGGACGAGGAGGAGGGGGCGAGCCTGGGCGACGGCAGTGGGGCGGAAGCCGGCAGCTGCGGTAGCAGCAGGCGGTCGGGCGGCGATGGCGGGGACGAAGTGGAGGGCTGCGGTGTGGGAGCTGGCGAAGGAGACCCCGTCCAGCACTTCCAGCTCGCGCGGCGCAAGTCCCTAATGCAGAAGCTTCAGTGCTCCTTCCAGACCTCCTGGCTCAAGGACTTTCCCTGGCTGCGCTATTCCAAGGATACCGGGCTCATGTTTTGCGGCTGGTGCCAAAAGCCCTCCGAGGATGGGGGAAGCGGGGACCTCCCCCTGGCGGGGCATGATGAGCTTTCGCGAGGGACCCGCAACTACAAGAAAACCCTTCTCCTGAGGCACCACGTCTCTACCGAGCACAAACACCACGAAGCCAACGCCCAGGTACGCTGTATCCTGCGTCTGCTTTTTGAAAAAGCGGGGCCTCGGGGCTGAGATTGGTGGGCTGCAAGAGTTGACTTTTCCTGAGTTAGGGCATCGTTCCCCCCTGCGGGGAGGTGCGGGGGAGGCTGCCGCGTGGGGGGTTCTGGAAGCCTGGGAACAAGTTTTCCAAAGTTGTGGCTGTGTGGTGTAGGGGGAGTGAGGTGGCGTGACACTTTGCTAATCGTGGCGCTGGGTTTGCTTTTTTTTTTTTTTTAATGTCTTTATGACAGATTTTTGTTCCAAAAGAACGTTTTTTTTTTAAAAGTAGATTGAAGGTTTTAGCCTAAAAGGATGACTTTGAGTGCTGTGTTTCATTAGCTGTGATTTTTAGAGAAGTCTCCTTGAGCTGGAAGACATTTAGTGTGCTGTGAGAAGTCTTATCTGGCGACTCTTGGTAAAGAGTGGATTAAACCAAGTTCCCTAACCTGGCGGTAACCCTTTCAAGAAAACATCTAGCTGAAAAAGTTCTTACGTTAGGGCTCGGGCTCCTCACGGGAAGCCTCGGAACAGTATGTAAATGTTGGGGAAGCTATTTGAATAACTCCTTTCTCTTGCGAGTAATTTTAACTAAACTCTCCTCTGCTGAACTTGTGGAAAGAACTTTCTTACCAAGGCTTGCTCGTGGTAAATCTTCCTGGCTCTTACTTGTGTACTTCTGCTCGGATTCCTGTGCTGAGATTTCTCTGGATCCTCTCTGAGAAGCGTGCTTTTGTCAGTTTTTACGTGAGTGCTTTAGACTTAGCAACGCTGGAGATGCTTTCATGTGGAGTGCTGTGTGTTAGGTAGTTGATCTGAACTGGTAGGGAATTTTTTTGGTCGCATCCTTGAAAACCCCAAGTCTTTCAGTTGCAAAATAAGTAAGCCGTGCTTTAGTTCTTAGTCCTTGTTTTAACATTGCTAGTCTAAAGATAGTAGCCTAACCAACAAGCTGATAGATGTTGACCGGTCCAGGTTTTTTTTTTGATTTGTTTTGTTTTTGTTTTGTTTTTTTCCTTTTCAGAAGACCTGTGGTGGTGGATGGCCAGTCATTGATTTTAGAAAGTCAGCTGTCAGACATTTGTCCCTTGGTGTGGCGTTGGCTGGAGTGATCCTGCATCCAACAGACCTCTCACAGCAGGGAAAGGGCTCGAGTTGGCTGTAGCCAAAACGCACAGGGTTAGGATTCCCACAGAACACAGATAGGGTTTGGAGGGGGCGTTGTTTCTCTCCCTGCGTGTATGTAGTTGCTTGGAGCCCAGGAGGAAGGTCACCGAAAGATACAAGGCCCAGAAAGGTTAAGTAAATTGCCCTAAGTCTTAAGCATTCTGTGTGGCAACTGAGACTAGAGCCTATGGGAGTGTCGTAATAGAGAAAGAATGGGTCTGGAGTAAATCTGGGTTCAGATCTCAGCTTTCTGCATTCACTAGCTTTGTGAGCTCGGGCAATGGAGTGAGATAGGACTGACGTTTTCTTGTTTTTCTGTGTGTCAAACACATTTACTGCGCAAAGTATCTTTGTTCCCATTTTATGGAGAGGAATGTAAGGCTTTGAAGAGTTAATTAACATTCCTGATGTTATTTAGTGAAGACCTGTAACAATTTAAATTTCCAAATAATGGTGAGTTGGTTATCCAAAAAAAAAAAAATTCTTTAAAAGACAGCAGAAATTAATGTACTGGGAGTAAGTTATTCCGCTTATCAACACAGTCTCTGTGGGGAATGGGGATGCAAATTGTAATTAGCTTCTTCGTGAACCTGAAATTCTGGGAAGGGAGAATTAGTTGGGTAACCTTAAAGTAGACTTGGTGTGAGGTGTATTCTAAGCGGGAGTCGATCCTAGTTCATTTGAAGGGGAGTCAGTGTCTGTCGTTTTTCAAACTTGAACTGTCATCATTTTCCCCTTTGTGAAATTCTGTGTGGTGTAATTGGTAGATCATCTGATTTTTTTTTTTTAAGGTATTCTGTTAGATTGAGGACAGTACAGTTTAGGATAGCCCAGTTTGTTTAAGGCTATGTATTGGTCCTTGAGTGAGTTTTGCTTGTTTCTGCTTCGAAGGATCCTAATAATTTCCCTAGTTCCTTAAATAGTGGGGAAGACGTCTTGTTTCCCAGATACCACCGTCAAATTTCTTTGTCCTGCTCCTTGGGGCAGTTTGTGATTTTGTTGGTTATTGCTGCCCTAACTACAGGGTCACCTGTAGGAGGCAGTGTAAGACAACCTGTGAGCGCATTCTTGGGTGGGTGGGGGCGCGGACCAGGACCAGGTCATATTCTCTTAGTTGAGGTCCCCTTTCCTTTGCAAAGCATATGGGCCAGTGCACGGTTGCTTAGTAAGTTACAGCTACTATTTACTTGTTATTTTTATTATGGATAGTTATCTCCCTGTCATCAGTTTTGTCCATTTTCTAGCCACTGTCATTTGACTAGAGAGTGAGTTTTTACAGCTCTGGCAGTCAGATTCTTTGGATATTGTCAGCCTGGTTCTTACATCCTACAGGATTTTTTTAAGCTCCCCAAGGAATATCTTGCATTAACCTTGTCTTGGCTTAAAAACATGGAAATGGGAGTTTTGGAATTTCTCAGGCGAGAATTCAGTTTGAACCGGGAGTAGTTTGTTCTCATTTTTCTTTGTAGGAGACCTGTTTTGGAGAGTTTGAACAGATTTTAGTATGTCACCAAAGATTACTTTTCCTATATTTTTCTATAAATAAGAGAAGTTTTTTTTTTTTTTTCTTGTTAACTTCTTGAGGGTGAGTAGACAGATTTGAGCACTCTTGAGCAAAGACTGATAACCTGCTCTTTGGATAGGTGTTAAAAGGACTCCTCACGGAGGCTTTAGGCATGCTCTGAGTCTTTGTTACGTCCCTCCCGTTTCAGAGGTATACCTCTGTAAGGACATAAACTGTGGTTTATTTTGAATTACCAGCTGTACCTCCAGGGTCAGGTTCAGTGATTAGCTCTTTCAGGCTTTAACCATCTGGCCCGGAGGACTTTTTAAAATGACTTTAATAATAGTGATTACTACTGCATCTTGGTTCAGACCACTTTCTCTACCCAGTTGTGAAATTTCGACTGCCTAAATCATGCATTCTGTCAACTGTAACAGTCTACTGAGCCTAGAACATGAACCCAATGTATTACTATTGTAGGTTTAGTTAACCTTTCCAGAAATCCAGACCAGTGATGTGATTGAGACCAGTAATTTCACTGGTTGAAATATGTAGATGTCGGTAGCTGGAGCAACTTCTTGGCTTTTGGCAAAAGTCAGGCCCAGAGGTTGGTCAGTTTTACATTTGAAAGGCAAAGCTGCAGGGCAAGGCCATCTCTGGCCCACACCTCACATAACTGCAGTAACCAGAGATGACCAGGCCAAGGCCAGGAGCTAGGAACTCCACCTGGGTCTCCATGTGGATGGCTGGAGCCCACGCACTTGTTGTCTGCCTCCTGGGATGCATCAGTACTAAGCTGGATGGGAAGTGGTGTGGCTGGGAGGTAGACACTCCAGAATGCAGTGTAGGTATCCCAAGCAGTGGCACCAAAACAACAGATCTAAGTTGGTTAATTACGTTTTTTTTTTTTTAAGACTTATTTTATTTTTATTGGAAAGCCAGATGTACAGAGAGGAGAAGAGACAGAAAGGAAGATCTTCCGTCCGCTGATTCAATCCCCAAGCATGGTGGATCCAAAACCAAGAGCCAGGAGCCCCCTCCTGGTCTCCCATGCAGTTGCAGGGTCCCATGGCCATCCTTGACTGCTTTCTCAGGCCACAAACAGCTGGATGGGAAGTCGGGTCTGCCAGGATTCGAACCGGAACCCAAATGGGATCCCAGCAATGTGCAATGTGAGAACTTTAGTCTCTAGGCTACTGCGCCAGGCCCTGGTTGGCCAATTTTAACAGTTTAGGAAGAAATTGTGACAGATCTTTGAGAGGAAAAATTAAGATGAACCTGTGACCCATTAGTCATTGAATAACTATTATCATTGATTTATTGTGTTTGATTTAGTAGGGGATGGCTCATTTCCTTTGTGGTTTTCAGATTTTTGATTGTATCTGACTACTGTGTAGGATTTGCTTCTTTCGCCCTCTAAAATTTAGTTTGTTGAATCTAAGGCACTGGAGAGGAAAACCTGTGTCAGATTTTTTTTGCCTCTGCTTTCAAGGAATGTGTAGTTGAGTAATGAGAGGCAACCATGCTAGTGCAGTTAAATGCCATGGTAGAAATGTGTTCATTGTGCACTGGACAGCAGTAGGGGGGGATTGAACAGTTGTACCTGCACAGGTTGAGGGACACTTGTAGTCTTGCTCTTGAGCTTGTTAAGTAAGTGTTGCTAACAACGGAAGTGGAAGGATGTTCTGATGATTACAGCTGAGAGCAGCCTGAAGAAAACGGAGAAGTGATGTCTTGCTGTGTCTGAGAGAAGTGGATATTTTGATCAAGATGAGTAAAATCAAGCTGGAGCAGATGGAGAGACAGTGGTGATGGAGGTTCTCTGTCGAACTGATATTTTATTCTTTGAGTGAATGGGTGACAACGGTAGTGTTTTGTTTTTGTTCTTAAGATTTTTTTTTTTTTGAAAGGCAGATTTACAGAAAGGAGGAGACAGAACTCTTCCATCCACTGGTTCACTCAGTGGTTGAACCATTGTGCCAGCCCAGGAAATATCTTCTATTGACTGGTTCGATTGCCAGATGACCAGAACAACCAAGGCTGGGCCAGGACATTCAGGGGAGTGCAGAATTCAGTCTGTCTCCAAGGTGGGAGGCAGAGGCTCAGCTACTTGGTATTACCTGCCACCTCCCACTGTGCAGTGTAGCTGGAAACTGATGGGGAATTTTTATTCCAGGTGGCCTCTAACAGCAACAAACAAGGATCTGCTTGATGTTTTTTCTTGAAGCCAAAGAACATTTCAGTTTTATTAATGGATTGAGTGGGGCTCATTAGGTTATACTGTTTGCAGCTGAAGTTAGCTTCTCAGCCACGAGACAGGGAAGTAGTCCTAAATACTCCAGGAGTTAACAATCCCTGGGCTTTTAAAAAAGCTGAGACTTGGGCCTGCGCAATAGTGTAGCAGTTCTCGCCCAGGATCCCATGTGGGTGCCGGTTCTAATCCCGGCTTCCCTCCTGCCTCCCATCCAGCTCCCTGCCAGTGCCCGGGGAATGCAGTTGAGGACAGCCCATAAGCCTTGGGATCCTGCACCCATGTGGGAGACCTGGAAGAAGCTCCTGACTCCTGGCTTCAGATTGGCTCAGCTCCAGCCGTTGGGGCCATTTGGGGAGTGAATCAATGGATGGAAGAGTTCTCTATCTCTCCTCTCTGTATATCCAGCTTTCCAATAAAAATAAATAAATCTTTTAAAAAAAAAAGCTGAGACTTCTGTAGATTCCTGTGTCTTCTCCCATCTGTTGCATCACTTAAGTTTTGTTAATGTTTTTATCTTTCAAATATTTTTCAAAACTGCCTCATCTCCCTGGTTAGATATTTGTTTTTTCCTTTTTTAAGGATTTATTTATTTTTATTGGAAAGGCAGACCCATAGACAGGAGGAGAAGCAGTAATCTTCCATCTTCAGGGAGCTGTATGGAAAGTGGAGCAGTCAGGACATAAGCCGGCATCCATATATGGTTTCAGTGTGTGTGGATGCGTGCGCGCATGCAAGGCCAGGAGTTAATCATTGAGCCATCACTCTGGAACCCAGTAGATTACTTTTGTCTTGAGTTTTTGATAAGCTAGGACATTTGGTGTGATGAAGACAGAGTCTTAGAAATACTGAATTATCCTCCCCAAATTAAGGATCTGGTGACCATAGCCTAGGATGACTGCCAGTGGGAGCCACCTCCTCAAGTGCTTTGAACTGCTTGATAATAAAAACACAGCCAGCTCTGGATTGGAAGTGCTTAATTTAATTCACTGCTTGCACAAATGCTATGCAAGTGCTGTCATTCTATTCAGGGTCTAACATTTTTTGCTTCTCCCACACGTTCATACCTAAATTATGATATCTTAGAATATTGAACCAGTTAAGCTGGCTGACCAGGTGTAGCATGTATAGCAAAGTTTAGTGTCAAGAATATTCTGTAGAGAACAGAAGCAAATTAATTTTTAAAATGTTATAAAGATTTTTTTATTGGAAAGTCAGATTTACAGAGAGAGGGAAAAACAGAGAAGAAGATCTTCCAACTGCTGATTCACTCCCCAAGCAGCCACAATAGTTGTATCTGAGCTGATCCAAAGCCAGGAGCCAGGAGCTTCTTCCCAAGCCTTGGGATGCAGGGTCCCAAGGCTTTGGGCCGTCCTTGACTGCTTTCCCAGGCCACAGTCAGGGAGCTGGATGGGAAGTGGGGCCTGCCGGGATTAGAACCAGCGCTTTTATGGGGTCCCAGCACATACAAGATAAGGACTTGAGCCACTAAGCTAACTTGCCAGGCCTAATTAATGAAATTTTGTTCAGTTTCAAAAGGGACAGCAAATAAACATTACGATGCCTTTATAGAAAGTTAAACCATAACAGTAATTACAATACTGAGTATTTTACTTTTTTTTAAAAAAGATTGATTTATTTTTATTGCAAAGTCAAATATACACAGAGGAGGGGAGACAGGAGGATCTTCTGTCCAATGATTCACTCCCCAAGTGGCTGCAATGGCCGGTGCTGAGCCAGTCTGAAGCCAGGAGTCTGGAGCCTCTTCCAGGTCTCCCACACAGGTACAGGGTCCCAAGACTTTGGACCGTCCTCAACTGCTTTCCCAGGCTACAAGCAGGGAGCCAGATGGAAGGCAGGGTTGCTGGGATTAGAACTGGCACCCATATGGCACCCAGTGCATTCAAGGCGAGGACTTTAGCCACTAGGCTACCCCACCAGGCCCTTATTTTATTATTTAGTCATACATGTCCTAAGTGTTTTCATTTGTGTCTGCCAAATGGTTTGAAATGTCACACAAGGCTGGTTTATTTAATATACAAGATGTTAAAGTGAGTAAAACTTTTGACAGTTTATGTATTTGTTTCTTGAAAGATGGTTCACTTCACAAATGCCTGCAGGCCATGCCACAAGGAACTCCATTCTTGTCTGCGACGGGATGGCAGGGTCCCAAGCTCCTGGGACGTCCTGTGCTGCCTTCTGTGACAGAGTAGCAGAGTTGAATCAGAAGTGCAGCAGCTGGGACTCCAGTAAGCAGCAGCAAGGGATAGCAGTAGCATCCACACAAGCTTAACTTGTGCCACAGTGCTTGCTTGGCCCAGGTGGCATCTGTGTCGACTTCCCAGGTTCGTTAGATAGATTGTGGTTTAGTTTGAGTGTATATGACGTTTTGGGACCAGGACTCGGAAGTTAAAACCATTGTGGGTGTGTGAATACACTTATATAGCATGTAAGTATATGCTATAATTAGATACACTCCTCACTGGATCAGTTGGATTTGGTGATTGTTTAGGAATCCTCCATTTATAAAGCATTCAAGAATTCTTTCAAAGTCCTCTATCCTGTTATCCTTCCTCCCTTCAATCTTTCAAACACACTTACACATATCCTGTTCCATGTCTTTCTCTGTGGTAATAGGATCTTGGATCTGTTTCATTATCTTAAGAAACAATCCATATGTATATTAGTGCTTTGTGCCTAAGAAGTCATGAAAAGTTTTAGCACTTAAATCAGGGTAGCATTTTCAATTACCTTTTCTACTGGAAATGATCAAGCAGGTTTTCTCTTGGAAAAGTGATTTCCTTCATTTCTTTAACAAAGTTATTAAATCGTGTGTAAGCACTAGTCAAAGTGGTGGAGAAACACAGAGCTGCAAGGGAGCTTACTCACCTAGCAATGCAATGACAAAGTCATAAAATGATTATAACAGTTACGATACTGCTGTATTGTGTTAAGACGAAAGCTCTCAGGGATAGTGACTTGCTCAAGGACACGCAGTTGATCATTGGTACCAGCAACAGTCTGAAATTAGATTGTACTCTTTTATATTTTATAGTACAGATTCTTTCATTGTTGCATAGGAAATTACCTTCTTTAGCAATTTAAATAGAGCTGTAATTGGCAAATTTTATAAACATAAGGAATTCTGAATTCAGAGATGTATGTCTTGCTTTACTGTTGATGTGTTTGATCCTAAAAAGAGAAGGCATTTTGAAAGGTGATTAGTAATTAAATAATTAAGCATTTCTGTAATTGAATCATTTTCTCCTTAGGGTCTTTATCTCTTACTAGATTTAATGAACTCCGCTGACCTAAACTGCTTGATATCAGTGTTTGCCGCAGACTTGGAGTTTACTTTTTAAATAGTGCATGATAGGATGATGTGTCCATAATATTTTACTATTGATATATTAAGTTCACAGAGGCAGACTGTTGCCTTCCCATCTGAGATAAATTAATCTGATTCCTAGAGTTAAAGATTTTTTTAAGAAAATAATTGCTCTTTTCTTTTTTAAAAATTTTTTGCTCTTTTCATTTTAAATAAAATCAGTTTATGTCCTTAGTTTGTATTTGAGATGAGTAATATGCTGCCTGTTATTTAAATGAAGTCCTGGTGATCTTCAGTCAGAAGTGGAGAGTGTTTGGATGGCAGCAGTGGGTTACATCTGTTGACGGGCTGTGCCTTTCGTTGTTTGGGATGATGTACCTTTTGTCTCAGTGCAAAATGGTTATCACAAATTAGCATACCTGATTAGTGTTTACTTAAAAAGTATGTTTAGATGTGTTCTTGATTTGAGGACTTTTAAAAAGTAAGCAAAATTTAATATTTATATTTTTCATCCAATTACAGGAGTCAGAAATACCACCAGAGGAGGGGTACTGTGATTTTAATAGCAGACCAAATGAGAACTCTTATTGCTATCAGCTTCTTCGAGAACTAGACGAACAGAGAAAGCAAGGTATCCTTTGTGATGTCAGCATTGTGGTGAGCGGAAAAATCTTTAAAGCGCATAAGAACATCCTGGTTGCAGGCAGCCGTTTCTTTAAGACTTTATATTGCGAGTCAAACAAAGAAGTCCCTAACCAAAAAAATACTACCCATTTAGACGTTGCTGCAGTTCAAGGTTTTTCAGTCATCTTGGACTTCTTATATTCTGGTAACCTGGTGCTCACAAGCCAAAATGCCATTGAAGTGATGACAGTGGCCAGCTATCTTCAAATGAGTGAAGTTGTCCAGACTTGCCGAAATTTCATTAAAGATGCCTTAAGTATAAGCATTAAATCAGAAGCTCCAGAGTCTGTAGTTGTGGACTATAATAATAGAAAACCAGTTAATAGAGATGGTCTGTCTTCATCGCGGGATCAAAAAATTGCCAGCTTTTGGGCAACACGGAATCTTACCAGTTTGGCAAGTAATTTAAAAATTGAAAATGATGGTTGTAATGTCGATGAGGGCCAAATAGAAAACTACCAAATGAGTGACAATAATTGGGTCCAGGATGGTTCTCCTGAGTTGGCTGAAAATGAATCTCCAGGTCAAACGAAAGTGTTTATTTGGAACAATATGGGCTCCCAGGGAATTCAAGAGACTGGCAAAACAAGGAGAAAAAACCAAACTACAAAGAGATTTATTTATAACATACCACCTAATAATGAAGCAAATTTGGAAGATTGCTCAGTGATGCAACCACCTGTTGCCTATCCAGAAGAAAACAAGACACTAATCGTCAAGGAAGAACCAGGTAAACACTGCAAATGCAAAGATATCTGTTTATTCTAATTCTAGAGTGTATTTTAATTAAAATTCTTTAGTATGAAAGTAATGCTGAATTTATATTTACAATGGAAGAGGGGGAGTCAGTTTAATATATTGTCTGTCTTTCCCTAGATGTTGTGTGTGCAGGTTTCTCAAAAAGTGTTGATGACCATGGCATAGCCTGTATAGATGCCCCATTCTGATGAAAATGTCTAGAGTTGAAAAAGAATTTAGCAGCGTACCAAATCCACCAGACATTATAGCTTAGCCTAGCCTAGCTTGAAATGTGCTCAGAATATGTAAATTATTTTACAGTTAGGCAAAATTATTTCACACAAAGCACATTTTGTGTGCTTAGGTGTAGAAATGATTTTGTGAAAACAGTGCTAAAAGTGAAAAACAGTGATTGAAGTGAGTATACTTTGCACCATTGTAAATTCAAGAAATTCTAAGTTAGAGATATTCAGTCTCTTAAAAGGAAATACGGACTTCACATAAGGCTTTTTCTTTCCCGATTTTAATGCTGTCCATATACCTAGTGCTGGGGTAGAATCTTTGGTTGTAATATACAATTTTTATTTTTAAAGATTTATTTATTTTTAATGTATTTTTATTTTGAATTTTGAACTATGTGGTACAATTTCGTACAGGCTGGGATTCCCTCCAAAATTCCCACCCCCCTGACAGATTTTTCCCATTTTACTACAATAGTGTAGTCCTTCATAAGGAATAAAGATTTATTTTTATTGAAAAGTCAGATATACAGAAAGGAGGAAAGACTGGAAGAACTTCCATCCACTGGCTCACTCCCCAAGTGGCCGCAACAGCTGGAGCTGCACTGATCCAGGAGCCCGGAGCCTCTTCCTGGTCTCCCACGCAGGTGCAGGGTCCCACGCCGCAAGAAGGGAGCGTGATGGGAAGCAGGGCGGCTGGGATTAAAACTGGCATCCATTTGGGATCCCAGCACGTGCAAGGCGAAGACTTTAGCCACTAGGCTATTGCACTGGGCCCACAATGTATTATTAAATTACTGACAACTCCTAGCTAGCTTAAGTATTTTTGTTATTTAACATTTTATAGAATCTTTCAAGTTACATACAGGTTATTATAAATGTGTTTTGGAACTGCTTTTTTTTTTTTTTAACCACAAATCTTAATGGAAGCTGAAATATTCTTCATTTGTCTACTTTCATTTAATTTTTATTCTCCTTTCCATTAGTTGAGAGACATCTGAGACCTTTCTGTTCAATATAAAAAAATACATAACAATCCTAGTAATATCATTGCGTGTTTTTTTTTTTAACTGGGTTATAGGACCATTGTTACAAGTTTAGAAAGATTTAAACTGTTTTTGCTTTGGTTGGGCTTTGTCCAACATTTTTAAAAAGCAGCTCGGGGGGTTTGAGGTTTCCTATGCAAACCTCCTTGTATACTGCTGTCATGAGATTTGATGCTTGTTTTGTATCCAAGCAGTTTGACTATTCAGTGTTGACTATTCAGTTGTTTGATGCTTAATATTAGGGGGGAGTACATTATTTCAAAGAGTCATCTTTTTTTATTTCCCAGAAGGCAAAATGTCATAGTATTCCTGTGAAATGGCTTCTCTGGCTTTTTATATCTGAGTTAGACGTCAGTAGTTAGAAATGCTTTGTGAAAAATCAGCATGTGTGTGTAACTGATAGTGTGCTGATCTTTTTATTTATGCTTTACATCAAGTTTTTATCAGGAAAACACCCAAGACATTGTTAGAGAGTAAAGTTTCTTTCTGTAGTGTGATGATTCCAGTGTGCTAGGAGCACTGTAGTGTTTTTAAATACATCTCAGTGTGGCCATACACAACCACTGTTCTTGTAAAGAGTAAGCAGATTATGGGGAAAGCTGATTGAGAGCAGAACCATTCAGAGAGCTACATCATTCTTAAAATAAGGGCAATTGGAATGATTTAATATGAATGATAAGCCACAGTGCATGCTTTGAAAAAGCAATTCTCCACTAGCAAGAATCTCCACTATTGCTGCTGGTACACTAAGTCTTTAATAAGTCATAATTTATTTAAGATAATTTTATGATCATAATACCACTATGGCATTTGAACTTTTTAAAGATTTATTTATTTTTATTAAAAAGGCAGATTTACATAGAGAAGGAGATACAGAAAGAAAGATCTTCTGTCCACTGATTCGCTCCCCAAGTGGCTGCAACAGCCAGAGCTGAGCTGATCTGAAGCCAGGAGCTTCATCTAGGTCTCCCACATGAGTGCAGGGTCCCAGGGATTTGGGCCATCTCTACTGCTTTCCCAGGCCACAAACAAGGAACTGGATGGGAAGTGGAGCAGCTGGGATACGAGTCAGTGTCCATATGGGATCCCAGTACATGCAAAGTAAGGATTTAGCCACCAAGCCTTCACTCCAGGCCCTGAGCTTTGCTTCTGATGCAGCAAATTTGGTTGTATCAGTGATGTGCTGTATTTAAACACTTTAAAAACTTTAGTGTCTTTAGATTCAACTTGACTAAGCGATACAAAATGGGTCTTTATTAAAGTATTAGATTTGCATGTAATGTGTAGAGTTACGGGCTGGCAACTTCTGCATTAACTCTTGATTTTTTTCCATGAAAGTAATTAGCTCGTAATTCCATTTTTCATGAAATATTTGAAGTCCTGGCATATTATCGGCTTTCCTGGCCAGGAGGTCAGCTATTCAACTCCACAATTTGTAGCCTGTAAGCAATCATGGGTAATATGTAAGCAAATGAATGTGGGTGTGTTCCATAAAACATTATTGCCAACCCTTGGTATAGAACAATGGGTCTTAGTCACAGCAGTACATTGGAATCATTTGGGAGCATTGCATGCCGTGATGCCCATTTCTCTTCTCCTCCAATTTAGTTGGTATCCAGTGTGAATGCTACAGTTTTTTAAAGTTCTACAGGTGATTATGCTATGAGGCAAGCTTGATCTGATACAATGGAAAGAGACATGGATTTGAAAGTCTGTTCTGCCACTTGTGCTAGCATGATCAAACATGCTCCTCCTTACTTTTCCTCACCTTTAATATAATATATACTTATTTTATAGGATTATTACAGAAATGAAAAGAAAAGCACATGAGCTGTCAAGGTCAGCTCACTCTCTCTTAAAGCTGAGGAGGACCATTGAAGCTTTTTCATGTTAGTTTTGCAGTGCTGTATATTTTGTATCAAATGCTAATCTCGGCCTTACTCTGTTTGCATGCTGTAGAGATTACTTTTTTATGCAGCCTATTCCAGTGCTGGTTGAATGATGGTTAGGAAGTTTTGTTTTGAGCCAGAACTTGCTTTTCTTTAACATCATAAATCTGTCGGGCCCGGCGCGGTGGCGCAAGTGGTTAAAGGTCCTCGCCTTGCACGCCCGGGATCCCATACGGGCGCCGGTTCTAATCCCGGCAGCCCCACTTCCCTTCCAGCTCCCTGCCTGTGGCCTGGGAAAGCAGTCGAGGACGGCCCAACGCTTTGGGAACCTGCACCCGTGTGGGAGACCCGGAAGAGGCTCCTGGCTTCGGATCGGCATAGTATCGGCCCATTGCGCTCACTTGGGGAGTGAATCATCGGACGGAAGATCTTCCTCTCTGTCTCTCCTCTCTGTATATCTGCCTTTCCAATGAAAAAATAATAAAAATAAATCTACAAAAAAAAAAAAAAAAAAACATCATAAATCTGTCATTTCGACTAGAATTTGAACCCAATCTTAAATCCCTCTAATCTGCTTGATAGTCCTACAAATGCTAGATACTTAAGAAATTCTTCAAAAGTCCTATTTTTCTAAGCTAAGTGTTGTTTCTTCTGTCTGGTGAATGTGCACAGTTTGCTATAACCTTCCAGACAGTTTTCTGACCATTGTAGACCACAGTGGGCCTGTTTACCAAGGTTAAGACCTTTCTCAGGGTTGTTTGACTAGTTAAAGTAGAGAGGCAGGTTTCATATTTAGGCCTGTCTCATTAAGTGCTTGGAATTAACCACTAAGCTGGTTGATTCCTGTTTTTTGTTTGTTTAAATTAATCCCATTTAACTTTAAATTATTTTTATATATCTACTTGATTTTAATCTCTAATTTCCATTTATTGAAAATAATAAAATTGTTTTTTGTGATCCTATCCGATGGCTTTTAAATTCTGTAGTAAATATCTGGAAAGGCATAAGAATTACTCAGTCTATGAATTGTTGGCATATTTGGATTTGTGAATCCCTTATAGGAAGTGTGATTCCCCAGGTTAAGTTCACAGTTTTTAAAGTATGTTGTAAACTCTTAATATTTTGTGGTGTGTAATGTTGGAGCTGGTTTGGGATGGCTGTTGGAGACAGGTAAGATGGACCGTACGTGTCTCCATAGGCTCATCTTGCACTGCCAGCATTGGCATCCCTTATGGGCACTGGTTCATGTTCCAGTTGTCCATTTCTGATCCAGCTCTCTGCTTATGGCCTGGGAAAGCAGTGGAGGGTGGTCCAAGTCCTTGGGACCCTGCACTCCTGTAGAAGACCTAGAAGAGTCTCCTGGCTCCGGATTGGCTTAGCTCTGGCCATTGTGGCTATTTGGGAAGTGAAACAGCAGATGAAAGATCTTTCTCAATCTCTCTCTCTCTGTGAACCTGCCTGTCAGATAATAAATAAATAAATAAATAAATAAATCTTTTAAAAATTGAACTAAGGTAAATCCATACCATAGTTGTCAGGAATTTTATTCAGATGTTTGGTTTGATTTTTTTTGGTGGTGATTGGTATTTTAAATCTTGAAGGATCTAGCCTGTAGTTCTCACTGCTGGGATTATCCTGATCATGTCTGATGTTTGGATACAAGTGGAACTTGTGAATTACTTCTGTTGCATTGGTGTCAAAAACAGTTTCTAAAATTGACGGAAAGATGGCGGCATTCATGAACTGCCATGGTGGAAATGCTCTCTCATTGTCTTGCTGACTTGCAACTGTCAAACATTATGGGTTTTTAAAATTTACTTTTGTTGGCAAGGCAGATCAGATTTACAAAGAGGGGAGATTGAAAGGTCTTTCATCTGCTGGTTCTCTCTACAAAATGACTGCAGTGGTCAGAGCTGAGCTTATCCAAAGCCAGAAGCTTGTTCGGTCCCCCATGCAGTTGCAGGGACCCAAGTTTGGGCCATCCTCCACTACTTTCCCAGGGCATTAGCAGAGAGCTAGATGGGGAAGGGAACAATCAGGACATCAAGTGGTACTTGTATGGGATCTTGGTACCTGTAGGCAGAAGATTGGCCAGTTGAGCCAACATGTCAGCCCCTAAATATTTTAATTATATATAAGAAGGTAAAAAACCTAAGATTCAAAGCTAGATTGAGGAAGTAAAAATGATGCATAATTTTTTTATTAAACATTCATATTGCATTTAATCAGTACAAGTCAAATTGCTTTTTTGGTCTCTTAATGGTTTGAACTGATGGCATGGTTTCCCGAGTCTAGGCTTTATGTATATGCCAGCTGTAGCTCCAGTTCTACCCATTGAAAAATAATTGGACTCTGCGTATCTGTATTAGAAATGAACATAATTAATTTTAAAATAAATTTTGAAGTGACATTAGCAAAAAAGTAAGAATTAATCATGCTAATAGTATGTATAAATATAATTTCCCTAATGCAATTGTGTCTGAGGTGCTAAACAGGCTTTGTGAAAAGGGAGGAGCATCCTCGCTGCAGGATGACAGAGTCCAGTTCCGATTCCGGATAGACAGTGAGCTGAGTAAGAGGGTGTAGCTTGCATGGCTTCTTCAAGTGTTTCCTAGCAAGTACGACAGATTGTTATGGATGTTTATCTCTCACAAAAGCTAATATAGCTTTTGTTGAAGATTGATGTGTTTTGTAATGCTTCACTGACTTTCAGATGTAAGGTATAATTTAGTTGTTTTAATTAATCTGAAATTTGTTTTCTCATCTAGTCTTATATTTGTTGTAATGGGAAAGTAATTTTAGCAATGTTTGTAAATCTATTAATCCTGACAAGTAGAGGTGAAGTCAGGCTTAATTTATGTAATTGTCTTTCAGTTCAAGGATTTCTAAGTTAGTATTTGGAAAACGATTTTGAGAAAAAGCATCTTTAAACTAGGTATCTTTAAGAAATCTTTGTGAGGTATGTGTATTTGAAGTAATGAATAATTAGAATTATTTGTGCCTTCAGCGTTTTGATGCTTGGTATCCTTTTTTGTACCATTTTTGAGCACTGAAGAATCTTAAAAATGCTTTTTTAAATGATTAAATATTTAAACTATGAAACCTGATCTGAAGTTTTTGGAAATAGGCCAGATTATTATCTCCTGTTTTAATCATTCTATATAAATTTAGTGTATGCTCAGGAACAACAAGAAAAAATAGCAAATTTGGAAGCCATGAATTCACCCGATTTTCTCTAAACCTTGGTCCTTCCCACCCTGATCAACCATGTAATCATTGTTTTTAAAAAGTTATTTTTTAAAAAAAGCTGGAAAAAATGACTTTGGTGTATGAAGTGTTCGTGGTGTTTGGCTGTGGTGAAGGAAGTAAGCATTGGGCTGAAGTTCTGTCACTGAGCTAGCTGTGAATGTGTCTGAAATAACACTGTATTCTTTCGTGAAATAGATCTTCCACCTCATAGTCTTATGATCTTTAAAAGCTTTCAGAGCCCAAAACTTATCATTTTAACAGCAAAAGTTACATTTTTTAATTTAGTTCTTTAAATGTCTGTTCAGGCCTTGTTCTAGAAATGTTAGTGATTGGTTATAGATGCTTCCCCAGACTCCATTGCAGTGTTGTACTTACTACTTTCCTAAAACCTCCAAATACTATGCTACATTTTGCCCAAAGGAATTTATAACAGCATAATAACTTAGCATCTTACCCCATGTTTTTTGTAATAAGTTTATTGCCCTGGATTTGATTTCTTTTAGAGATTCCAGATGTTTTGCTAACCTTTTAGGTGTCTTTTTGATGGGATATGTTAGAAGCATAAGCCACAAGCCAAAAAACTAAAACATTTTTTCATTAGAACTTAACTAGGGCTTGAAGATCTAGTGCTTGTTTTTATTGATCCTCAGTGTTCGTCTTTTAAAAGAAACACCAGGGCCCGGCGCGATAGCATAATGGTTAAGATCTTCTCCTTGAACACGCTGGGATCCCATATGGACGCCGGTTCTATCCCGGCTGCTCCACTTCCCATCCAGCTCCCTGCTTGTGGTCTGGGAAAGCAGTTGAGGACAGTCCAAAGCCTTGGGACCCTGCACCCATGTGGGAGACCTGGAAAGAAGTTCCTGGCTCCTGGCTTCGGATTGGTGCAGCACTGGCCATTGCGGCCACTTGGGGAGTGAATCATTGGATGGAAGATCTGTCTCTCCTCCTCTCTGTACACCTGCCTTTCCAATAAAATATATAAATCTTTTTAAAAGATAAAAAGATACACCAAGGGGCTGGTGCAATGGCTGAATTTTAAAAAATCTTTTATAAAAATCACCTGAGAATTAGGGGCTGTCAACTACAAAATTGTATTAGTATCTTTAGGTTTAGGACCCAGCGCGGTTCCCTAGCATCTAACGTCCTCACCTTGCAAGCGCCGGGATCCCATATGGGTGCTGGTTCGTATCCCGGCAGCCCCACGTCCTGTCCAGTTCTCTTCTTGTGGCCTGGGAAAGTCAAGGATGGCCCAAAGCCTTGAGACCCTGCACCCACATGGGAGACCAGGAAGAAGCTCCTGGCTCCTGGCTTTGGATATTTTTTATTGGAAAGTCAGATTTACAAAGAGGAATAGAGAGAGAAAGGAAATTATTCCATCCAATGATTCACTCACCAAGTGACTGTAAACAGCCAGAGCTGAGCTAATCAGGAACCCTCAGCCTCTTTCGGGTCTCACGCACAGGTGCAGGGTGGCAAGGCTTTGGGCCGTCCTCAACTGCTTTCCCAGGCCACAAGCAGTGAAGTGGATGGAATAGAACCAGTGCCCATGTGGGATCCTGGCTCATGCAAGGCGAGGGCTTAAGCCACTAGGCTACTGTGCCAGGCCCAGAAGAAATAAATCTTTAAAAAAATTTTTAAATAAAATTATGAATGTTATTTAATGAGTAATATTAGGCAAACATATGCTAGAAGTAATCTGCCTTTTTTCCTCTTCTCCTTCACTTTGGCTCTGTATAATTTTCCTTTCCAACCTTTTCTACTTTACCTGTCCTAAGGCACACCTGTATGGTTAGTTATTCCCTGTGAAGTTAGAAACCTGAGAGTATGGGCTGTGTCGTCAGGAGAGCTGGGGGACGAAGAAGCCGTACGTGGAACAGTTTATTTTGCACCATCCACTCAAGTTCTTGCACTATGACCTAGGTGAATGTGAATGAAGAAACGGAGAGTTTCACACAGTTGTCAGCCAGTTCATCCTTGTTCACTGTTGTGGTTGAAGATCTTGAATAATCAATTCATGCATTGTTTTATGGCTATTATTATTCCATGTAGTGGATAATGTTTGTTAGCAGCACACTGACTCGATTTCTCTAAGAATTTTAAAATGTGTGTAGCTCAAGAATAATGTGTTCATTCACGTTTGCTGGATATTTATCCAAAAACAGGGGGCATATGTTTTAGATATGACAAGATGAGCAAGGCAGGAATAATCTCTTGACACTTAGCTTGTTTTATATTTTCAGTAGTGATTTAGATTGACTTTGCCTTGTGTTCAGCATACAGGAGATAACTTCACATGTGTTCTTTTATTTATTGGCATAGGAAATCAGTCCAGGAGGAGGTGCTTTGGGTGATGTGGCTGTGGTACGGTCTGTAAGTGAATCGCTGTGCATTTCCTTTGCAGATTTGGATGGTGCTCTCCTCTCAGGGCCAGATGGTGATAGGAATGTGAATGCAAATTTATTGGCTGATGCTTGTGCTGGTCAAGACGGAGGTGATGCTGGTAGGTACACTAAGACTTTAGCAAAAGTACATTGAAGAGAATTTGAAGATTGGGAAATATTTGTATACAGGTAAAGTTGTGGAGCCTATTGCATGGAGTTCCCGTTTGTGGAGAAGGTCATGTGAATCGCTTTGGTAGGCAGTTTGGGAACTGGTTCAATACAAATTTGATGGATCTTTTAAGTTGTGTTTGAGGAGGCATTTAAGAGGTTTTTAAAAAATGTAAATGTTACATGTTGTTAGATTATTACAGATGTAGGGCTTCCTCCTGGTATATGGACAGAATGAAAATCAGAATAGTTGAGTAACGTATTTTAATCAGATTTGATAGATTGCTATAATAAATGCTGATTTTTAAAAATCATTTTTATTAGCTATACTTTGAGGAGACCACTGGATATAGATAAGAAGATTCATGAATATATTATGAATAAAAGGGGGACTGGGTCTTTGTAGAATTGGGAAAACACCTATTTTGGAACTCTCATGGGAGATACTTTTTTAATTGGAAAGTCAGATTTACAGAGAGAAGGAGATACAGAGAGATCTTCCATCCACTGTCCAAAGTGGCAGCAAGAGCCAAAGCTGAGCCGATCTGAAGCCAGGAGCTGCTTCTGGGTCTCCCATGTGGGTTCATGGTTCCTGGGACCTGGACTGTCCCTCGACTGCTTTCCCAGGCCACAGGCAGGGAGCTGGAAGGGAAGTGGAGCAGCCAGGATATGAACATGCACCCATATGGTATCCTGATGCATTCAAGGCAAGGATTTAGCCACTAGGCTGCTGTGCCATACCAGTGGGAAATAATTTAAGATCATCAGTTGATATTAAGCCATTGTAAGTGGATAAAAGGTTGGTGGAGAATCGCATATTGGTAGATTCTCAAAATGTTTTTAATTGTTTCCAATCACAAAAGAGAAATGGTTTGTTTACAATTGAGAACTGAGGACCAAACTTAGTAATAGAGCAAACTGAAGTCAAGTACCAGTTAATGTAGGTTGCATAGAATATAGTGTTCTTACACAGATCTCTAACCTGAATCTAAATGTGAGAAGTCAAATATACATAAGCCCAGGTGTATTGCAGATGTTCTTAATTGATGTCGATGTCATGAGAAAAGAACAGGAAAACCACTAAATTGGATGAAATCCGATTAAGTCAGGGTCCAAAAATGAATGTGCTGGGTGTTGCGGGGGAGTAGTTAGAGTATGAAAGTTGGTGGGATAAAAAGTCACTACAGGCATTCCTTACAAAGAACAGCTACAGGTTTTCTGAAGTGTGTGCACTGAGCAGAATTCAGCCACAGTTCCACAGAAGTGGCCTTAATGTGATCTGTCTGCCTCAAGTGTATGTTTTTGACATTGGAAAACTAGAGGAGAGTGAGACACGCTTGGTCCTTGCTGTGTTGGAGCTTACCTTTGTTTTTGAATAGGCTGTGACAAGAAATATGAACCACTAAGGCACACACTTGAGTTTGAAATGAAAAACTAAAAATTGACATATCCACAGGCTCTCATCCTCCCTCCATCCCTCACCCATGGAAATCACTTCAGTGACTTGGCCCTTTACTAGCAATGCCTTATAGTTATACATAGTTGCTGGATTCAGAAGGCATTCCTAACAATCAGAAAGTATGGTAACGGAATTCCAGTTGCAAGTTAATTTACATTTATTGTGAAGAAGTTAAGCTTTAAAATACTCTAAAATAGGGGCACTTTATTAAATAGTTGGGACCATATTTTAGGAAATTGGTAATTATTACAATTATTAAAATCCAAGATATCTGGATCCAGTGCTATAGCCTAGTAGCTAAATCCTCTTCTTGCAAGCATTGAGATCTCCTGGGTGCCAGTTCCTGTGCCAGTCACTCCGCCTCTCATCCAGCTCCCTGTGTGTGACCGGGGAAAGCATCGGAGGATGGCCCAAAGTCTCAGTATCCTGCTTCTGCCTGGTAGACCCAGAAGAAGCCCCTGGCTCCTGAATTCTAGCTTTTGATCAGCTCAGCTCTGGCCATTGCAACCATTTGGGGAGTGAACCAGCAAATGGAAAATCTTTCTTAAAATAAATAAATAAATAGAATGATAATAAAATTTGCCTTTCCAATAAAAGTAAATTAATCTTTTTAAAAATCCATGTATGGGATTTAATATTTAATACTCTCTATCCAGAAATGAATGGAAACAGTATTTTAGAGTATGTTGGATGTTGGAATATATAAATGTACTTTACTGATTAATCATGCCTAATCCAGAATAAAAAACAATCCAGTACTTGTTGGAGGGTCTCAACGCCTGAAAGGGTTAAGGCTCAACATACATTGCTGCCTGAAGGAGGGCCTGCAGACCTCTGTGGCAGGGCAGTGAAAACCTGAGTGCCTTGAAGTGGGGGCCTCCTCCCCTGGGGCACATCCCCCAGGCCAGGAGGCCAGGGGTGTGGTGCGGTCGTGGTCCTAAGGAATGGTAAAGGTCTCTAACTTGTATTGTGAGTGAGATTAGTTGCCTTTGCAGCTTTTTGACCAGAGAAATACTAGGGGAGAGTGTAGAAGTTTAGCTTTGCAAATATCTTCTGTTTATATTCTTTATCCTTAATCCATTTTTTCTATGCCAGTTAATTATTATTATTATTAATTACTTACTTACTTGAAAGAGATACAAAGAAAGGATGAAAAGGCAGCAACAGCTGGAGGTGGGACAGGCCAAAGCAGAGCCTGGAATTCCATCTGGATCTCCCACAAGGGTGTTAGGGACCATCTTCTGCATTCCTGGGTGCATTTACTGGGAGTTAGCTTAAGTGGAGCAGCCAGGACTGCAGCCAGTGCTCCTGGGATCCTGGCATAGCAAGCTGTGGCTTAACCTGCTAGTCCCTGGAGTAGTGATTGTCTTGGGTGTAATATTAAGAATATCCAGTGTAATAGTTGGGACTTCTGGGTGACAGCATCGTTTCAGATTACAGAAGAACAATTACAGTGCTGTCTTGGATATATTGTGAAGCTACATTTTTTTTTACCTCCACCATTTGCTAGTATTTCTGTTTTCTTTCTTTTTTTGTTTTTGTTTTAATTTCCATCTACTTGAAAGGCATAGTGGCACAGAAAGGGAGAGACAGCTGTCTTTCTCTGCTGGTTCACTTCCCTGCAGGATTGAACCAAGTCAAACTGAGATCAGCTTCAAAGTTTGCGTCTCCCGTATGGGTTGCAGGGTTTGAACCATCATCTGCTGCTTTGCAGGGTGTGTTAGGCAGATTGGAGGGAGAGGAGCTGGAACTCTGCAAGCACTCCAGTGTGGAATGTGGAATACATGCTTTACCAAACCCATCACTTGGTAGTTTTTATTTTTTAAACTAAACTTACTTTTTTTCAATCATGGTCATTTCATACTTGTTTAATTGTGCATAATAAAGTATTGAGACACCTCAGTTATAAAAATGTAGAATTTTTATGGAAGTTAGAATGTTCTAATATAATGCTGTGAGGATATGCCTGTGTTTTTTGGTTTCTCACAGAGATCTTTATTACCACTGTTACTTAATAATCCTTTTTATTGCATTAGGTCCTTCAAATGATTTCAAGTATGGTTTGATGCCTGGTGCTGCAAATGATTTCAAGTATGGTTTGATGCCAGGTGCTGCAAATGATTTCAAGTATGGATTATTGCCAGGTACTTCAAATGATTTCAAGTATGGATTATTGCCAGAATCTTGGCCAAAACAAGAAACTTGGGAAAATGGTAAGGATTGGTTCATAAAAATTAGAAATAATTTTAGCAACAAAGAGTATAGATTTCAAGGATGAATGATAGCCCTAAGTCTGTTACTAGTCCCAGGGAAAGAAATAGATGTTTTCATAACGAATTTTTTAAAAGTTTAATAAGTACACTTACATTTTTTTAATTCTCACAGGTGAATCATCTCTAATCATGAACAAGTTGAAATGCCCTCATTGTAGCTATGTAGCCAAATACAGACGAACACTAAAAAGACACTTGCTCATTCATACGGGAGTGAGATCATTCAGCTGTGATATTTGCGGAAAGCTGTTTACTCGAAGAGAGCATGTCAAAAGACATTCCCTGGTAAGTAAACGCACTCTGAACTTTGAGGTCTCTATCAATGAAGCTTAAAAGGCATTTTTTGACAGTTAATTGCAAATTTAGGGAAGATTGATACTTAATCTTGTTAAACCGTGAATGTATCTTAGGGGCTGCTAATGATTGTCATTCAGGAAAACAACAGTAAACTAGTTAATCACTAAATGGCTGTTTTGAGTGGTTCAGATGCGTTCGGTTATGTATACCATCCTTACCTTGGGTTTCCCTTCCCTTTCAAATAGGTGCATAAAAAGGATAAAAAATACAAATGCATGGTATGTAAGAAGATCTTCATGTTAGCAGCCAGTGTTGGAATAAGGCATGGATCTCGGCGCTATGGTGTTTGTGTAGACTGTGCAGATAAATCACAACCAGGAGGGCAAGAAGGTGTGGATCAGGGACAAGATACAGAGTTTCCTCGGGATGAAGAATATGAAGAGAATGAAGTAGGAGAAGCTGATGAAGAGCTGGTTGATGATGGAGAAGATCAGAATGATCCGCCTCGATGGGATGAAGCAGGAGATGTGTGTATGTCTCTAGATGACTAACTGACCTACTATACTCCTCAAGGATGCTGCATTTGGACATCATATGAATCGACAATTTGGATTGTTGAACTTGAAGGCTTGCAAAATATGGTACATGCTGGATGAGTTAGTTAACATTGCTGTGAAAACTAGGGTCAAAGCCTTATAGCAAAAAAAGCAAAAACAAAAAAAAAAACTTTTTTTTAAGTATTTGCACAGGACTGTACAGCAGACAACCATGTGGTTGGATTACATGGAGTCCCCACATACTCAGTCAGTTATCAAAGTTAAATATTTTTTATTTATAGGATATACAGTAACTATTTGGGTCCTTTGGAAATATATTTACCTGTCCTTACAGAGCTTACTCTTCATGTGCCACTTCCACATGAATGCAGAAAATCCATTTATGGAAGTACAGCGACAGTTGACCCAATCAGTCTGTCCATCAAACCACTCAGGCTAGTTTTTACTAGTAGAGCTTTGTTTCTATTTTTATTTTTATTAATTTTATTTTTTTTAATACAGATTTTCAGTGAGGGGCTTTTTCAACCCCATTGGTTCTATTTTCTTGTATTTTACATTTTAATTTGTTCCATAACTTAAACCAAGACTCTGGTATTATTTCTCAGTTTTGTGCTGATGGGCATGTTTATAAGAACTGGAGAGGTAATTTATTGGAATGAACTAACTGACTTCCCCCACTCCCTTTTTCCTTTTTGACATGAATTTTACTACTTCACAAATGAAGAGAATGATGATGCGAAGTTGACAAATACCACTAAAATGATTATGATTTAGAAGTAACTTTCTCCTGCTGCTCTAATCTGATAAATGGTTACTATATGATGTCTTCTGACATGATATTCGGTTTTGGGTATCTGTTACTTTGGCACTATTCTTGTTTGCCTCATTATTTTTGCCAGTGTACTATACCTCAGACTTATTGCAAAGACAGAAATATAATTGAAAGAAAAGTCATAGAAACAATAATTAATTTGTTTTGTAATTTATGCTCCATGTCCAGTTTGGTTAGCTTGTTATGCAATATAAGTGAAATATCAGGTTTTTTATTCCTGTGCCCTTTTATCATTAAAATTAACACAAAATGTACATTCTCTTTTGTTTCATATTTGCCAGGATATCCAGTGTTTTGAAATGATGGTTGATAAAGCTAGTTTATTTTTCTATTCCTTAAAATCAGTATCATCTTTATATAGTATTTGTTTTCACCCTGATTCGACAGTCTGCAAGAATCTCACAGATAAAATAATGAGAGGCTTTATTCTATTGACTAAATTCAGGGTACAAAGAGTGATATATAAGTTGAAATTGCTAGAGATATATTTAGCCTGGTGGCAAATGAATTAGCTGATCCATGGAAATCCAAGCAACATTTCATGTACTAACATGTACAACATTTATCAGGAGCATATTGTACATTGTAAGATTAAGGAACGTCATATTTTCAGTTTTTGTTTTTACATGAAAATAGACTATTTTCCTATTTCATATCAGGTAACTAAATTATCCTAGTTGTGTGGGAAAATTTGCAAAGATGCGTTGACAGATACAGTCCTCTTGGTGCTCCATCTGATGACAGCTGGAAAGAGACAGGCTTTGTCGTTGTCTCTGAGCTCAGCAGAAATGGCTTAGCATTAGACAAGGATGATTCTGCTTCGATAAATCAAAACCGATTTACAGTTAACATGGTTAGATGCAGTTTTTTGTCATCTGAATTTTTGTTGTAATTTCTACGTAACTGTAAACTGACTTTTGTTTCAAGCTAAGAGTACACCTGATTCTCAGCGTTCTAGACAGATGAGTACGATGTGATTCTGGGCAGGTCCAAAAGTAGAAATTAGTTGGGTAAAAGATACTATGAATGAGAAAGTATTTTAAACGTAAAATGTTTTGCTTTGTGAATATGTAAGTATAGCATAAAGATTTCTTGCATCCCATTTATCCCCTTCCTTTAAAATAAACCATAGTTTACAATTGGTAGATCTGTCTATATATAAATATATATTAAAGAGCAAAGATATATATCTTAAAAAATCACCTAAATCTGCTTTATTAGGCTATTGTTCACTTATTGCATAGAAACTGGACTTGGCTTTACATTCGTAATGTACTTTTACTTTCTTGAAAATATGATATGAACTTATTCTCTTGGAAACTGAGTTTTCTTTTATTACTGAAATCATTTATGTATATCTGGTAAATTATGACCAAATTTTTGTTAGAGTTTGCATACAGTAAATTGAAATACACACTTGGTACACTACGGGATTGTTGTGCTTTTGTTTTGGTTTTAGTTGGAAACAAGATTTGATGTAGATGGCTTGTTACTGTTAATTTAAAGTATTCTATAATTGTCCATTACCTTTAATGTTGTGTTGTGAAAGATTTGGCTATATTTTTAGTCGACTGAAGTATGCTACTTTAAAAAGTTTGTTTTTAGGTAATCCAAAGGAAAAATGTTTATACTCTTGAATATATTAGCCTCAGCCTATATAAAAATTTCTTTGAAGTAAACATTTTACCAGAAACTGAATGGACAGATTTTTCTACTTGCTGACTGCCTAACTTATTTTGTTTCATGATCTCAAGGGACTGCCTTTGCCCTTCTAGATCTTTTGTAAAGAATAGTTTTAGTACTAAGGTATACTACTGGACGTTTCTATTTTTTTAAGTATATTCTTTTTCTGACTTAACAGTACAACAATTTCAGGAAGTTGATAGATACTAAGAGCTTATGATTGGTCTCAGAGAGATAACCATGAAATATTCGTAATTTTGTCTCTGGAACTCTGGTAAAATTATGTGTAACACAGTTGGTAAAGTTTTTCTCCTGTAATTTATATTTTAAATGAAAGTATTTTAGAGCTTTTAATTTTCATGAAGGAGAAGAACGTAAACTGTTTTTTTTTTTTTCCTATTTACTCTAGCAACAGACCCTCTCACAAGTCAAGATCATGTGTACTGTTAGGATTCTCAGACAGTTACTTCCTTGTGACCCCTTCTGTCATAGTTCTTCGCCCTCATTTCATTATTTATTAGATGATTTGCTAAATATAGCACCTTAGCAGTTAAAGAGCTTTTGAAACATTACAGGAAGGGAAAACTGGACAGAAACAAAGAGCTTTCAAATTTGGGGGGAGGGTGGGGAAGCACTAGCTAGTTTAAGTAGAACATCGTGATGGGGAGAGTGAGCCAAATGAATTAATTCAGAAACATGGTTAGAACACTGGTACTTGTTATGTGTAAAAGTTTGGACATACTCCAATAGGAAATGAAACCAGGAGGGTAGCAATAGTAAGTGAGAGGATCAGGCCTTACAAATGTTTGTGTAAAACACCATTGAAAGCCTGAAGATGGCTGGAGTAGCATAATGTGGGGGAAAGTGTGGTGAAAACTGGGTTTTAAAACAAAATACTTAAATAAGCTTTATTTATATCTTTAGAACTTTTTTGAACACAGCATGGAGGGCTTAGGTTCATTTTTCTGGATAATGATCCCCAAAGCTGACTTTTTTTCTTTGAGTGCCACGTTTGCCATTGTGCAATTATACTTTAATCCCTTACAAGGTAGGTGCTATTGTCTCCGTTTTATAGAACAAAAGCTCAGAGAAATTCAAACACTTGCCTGATTGTAAGCAGCTGTGACAGAGCAGGGCTTTGCCCAGGTCTGACTCTGCAGCCCTTGCTCTGTCTAGGTGGCTGTACTGCTGCCTCACTGAACACCTTTTTTTGTAGAACTTGAGCTCTCTATGGAGATTTGTATTTTCCCTGTATAACAGCTATGTAAGGAATTTTGTCTCCCTCCACCACCCAGTATCCTTACTACTCTCTCCTGATGAAGCAGCTTGTTTTGTCACTTAGATTAGAAGAAGACACACAACCTCAGTACAGCACATGCTGTTGTTAATGGGCTGTGGCATTTTCATTTTTTAAAGAATGATTTTTATCTGAATAACTAGCTATAAGCCCCAGTTTTTGTGCTGTTCAGTCACCCAGATCCTTAAGCTTAACTTTGGTACATAATATACACACTTTAAAAAAAAAAAAAAAGAAAAGAAAACAGGTGTTTTCTTAGTTACTTTAGGATTTAAAATGAAACTTTTTTTATCCCTGCTATATCCCTGCTTTTAAGTGAAGTTGAGTTAATCTAGATAGCTTAAAATGTGTTAGGGATAAGCACACTTTACAGGATGTTTTCTCGCCCTGAATACTATGACATTGGGTACTTAGCATTTGCAGTACACTATTGAAAACAGAATTGTGGGTTGAGGAGAGGGGTGGTTGAGGCCGTTATGAAATGGGAGAATCAGCATTTTAAACACTGTAAACATGAAAACACTTTTCTTCTGCCTGCTGTTTGTAAAAGCTCTTTGGGAAGATCTTTTACGAAGACCAATTTTTTTTAATGTAATTTACCTACCTAATATTGAGTGTCCTAAGACATGTATGTAAACTTCCAAAACTGTTTTGTCTGTGTATTTAGAAAATACACAAGAATCTTTATCAAACCTAAAAAATATAAACTTGTGAGCACTAAACTTCTGCCTTTGTGAATTTTATTGACTCTCAATTCAGGTCTCTGAGTGATTTAGGCTAATTGGGGTGGGTGAATACCTTTGTAAACTCTGACCTTAGTGTAAAATTCAGGTATCTGCACTTTCCCTTGTACTGTGGGACATTTGTTTGTTTCTTCGTATTTGCATATGAAAGTGTGTAAATGACTTCACACTACCTCTTGGGGCTCTGCAGAGCTGCTTAAAGATACAGCAGTGATATGTAATCAGTGTTTCACCTTTATATTAGAAAGCACTATAAGTTCTTGCATTTTACTCCTGAGCATAGTATTGGAATGGGTTTAAGGCAAAGGGAAACTGCTTCATCTCATTTAATATATTGTTGGGCTTAGACTACAAGCAAATATGTAAATTTTAAGTCTTTGAAACTTGTTTATTAACAGAGAAAACGCAACTAATTTAAAGTATTTTTCCAAAGAACAGAATAAAGGCAAGATACTGAGATTTTATTAATGAGATTCTTGTCTACTTTGAAGAAGTGGGGGAAATGGCAGGCAGGGTATAGGGGAGATCCACATAGGATATCTATTAGATATTTTAATATGTAAAAATTTTTTTAAATAAAAAACCTCATGGCAGAATTAAGGTAATAATTGGGAACAAATTGACTTAAGTTCAAAAAGCCTTTATTCAAAGATGAAATGGGGTTGCTTCAAAAAAATGCAGCCTCCTACCACTGAAGATATTGTAATAGAGTAGAAGAAACAGAAAATTACTATTTCTCTTGATCAAACATTTCTGTGTCAGAATGAGTTTTAAAGTCTTATATACATACTTGGCCATCTTGCTTGCTTAGTAAATAATAGTTGGCAAGAATACATATTTTGTATGCATTGAAACTTACTGAAGGATATTTTGCTGTTGAACATTTAGAAGTTTAACTTTGTGAAAACTGCTGCTACAGGAGCTTTTCTCACTGTAAGTCATTGCCACACACCAGTGTTTGAGAGCTGGTGTAGAGAACAGAATTGGTGGGGTTTTACTTAGAAAAACAAGCTTCAGAAATTAGTCCTTGGCATAAATATCTGAAGTTTGGAACAAGTGCAGAAATAGCAAAGTCTGGAAATGTAGTCAGTTGAGTCAAGGATGGGTCCTCTAACTGCACTGATGGCCTGATAATACCTTCCGTCAGCCACGTTTTTTCCTGAAAAAACTAAAGTTAAGCAACAAGAAAATAAATTTCTAGATAAAATTAGATGTTAAAATTTTAAAGACTGCCTCAGCAAACATCCCAACACCTCACGAGAGAACAATAACCAAAACATTTATAGAATAATTCTAGGACCACCTAGATTCAAAGAGACCTAGTGAAAAAGATCCATAAAAGACTGTAACTTGTTTGGATCCTAGTCCACAGAATAGCAAACCCACAACTTGAATCCTCAATCACCATTCTATAGTCAAATTTGTAGCAAAGGGAAATTAGAGAAGTTATTTTAAACGTAACAAGATCTAGACCTGTATAGGTATAATTTTTCTGTGGTTGATGGTTTTAAATTTACCTCTACTTTAGATGTGATCAGGTTAGTTCCATGTAAGAGGTCTCTGAAGGCAGTAATGGAGCCAGTTAACCCTGGCAACCTGCTCTATCCCCGCTGTCCCTTAAGTACTGATGACACACACCACATACAAACAGGAACTCTTGGAGTAGAGGCACTGTTTTCCTCTGGGCATTTTCAAAATGTATTCACTGGATATTCATTTGATTCCAAATGTACCCTGGTTAATGAGATCCTAGTGTTTCGCATGTCCCTTTCGATGGAAAAGATGCAAAATTAGGAAAGTAGAGAATTTCTTGGGTTTGCCACCACGTGATATTCCCACAACCTACCTCCCAGGTTGGAGTTAGGCTTTCTGCTGGTGCATCCCGTGGGAGGCAGCAGCTGGCGATGAGTCAGCTGGTTCTGGGCTCACAGCTTCACCCTCACTCAGCCTTGACTGTTGGGAGTATTTGGGGAATGAACTGGCAATCAGAGATTGTCCGGCCCCTCTTTTTGATTTTCAAAATATTTTTGAAGAGGGAATTTCATCAAAGAGGACCTTCATTTCAGTTAATTGAAATAGCAGAAGTGGGTGGAAAGGGTGGACTTGTAGGATAAATAGAAATAGAAAATAATGGGCCGGCGCTGTAGTTCAGTGGCTAAATCCTTGCCTTGCATGTGCCAAGATTCCATGTAGGTGCTACTTCATGTCCCAGCTGTTCCTCTTCCCATCTAGTTCCTGACCAGGCTCCTGGCTTTGGAGCAGCCCAGCTCCTGCAATTGTGGCCATTTGGGGAGTGAACCAGTGAATAGAAGCTCTTTCTGCCTCTCTGTAAATCTGCCTTTCAAGTAAAAATAAAATAATTAAAAATATAGTTTAAGATAATGCATACTCATGGCACTCAAGTCCTCTTAACACAATAGAAGGGAAATAACACTGTACCTTCAAAATATATATTATTAAGGTTTTCTGGAAGGAAAAATAATGTATTCCCCGTTCCTTTTGACCCAGGCTTTGGTGAACCGGGCATTGTCTGAACAGACAGGAGTATCAAATTGATAATATTAGCCAGTTTTTCTGGAATAGGAATATTTAGTTTTCTAGGTGTCTACTGTTTGACAGCTGTTTTCTGTAAATCTGCAGAAAAGCTCTCAGAAGCCTCACTCTGAACTTGGAGACTTGTCTTCATAATAGAGCCTACCTACTATCTGAATAGCCTACATGATGTGACTTTGACCCAAAGTCCTCCTGGCTCATAACCCAGTTCATTAACATTGTAGGCACCTCAGGGTTCATGCTGACGCCACGTATTTATTTGGCATGGAAAAAAAAAAAGCAATTCTTGGGATCAAATCACAATCTTCAATGGCTTTCAAATAGTTGTCCAGAAAACCTGTATTCAGTTATGCAATATGTTGTTAGGACTGTTTCATTTGGGACACAGCAAGAGTTCCCATCCGTGGTTCCCTTCCCAAACGGCCCCAATGGCTAATGCTGAAGGTCGCCTGACAGGGCGAGAGGGACCCAATCCTATGTGCCATCCTTACTTGCCTCCACACCAAGATGGAATGGATCAGGAGCCAGAGGCAGGCACAGAAAGCAGGTACTTCAAAACAATATGGGAAGTAGATGGCTTAACTGCTAGGTTTTACATTGGCACTTTTTCAAATTATTTAAGATTTATTTATTTTTATTGGAAAGTCAGATATACAGAGAGGAGGAGACACAGACAGGAGGATCTTCCATCCCATGATTCACTCCTCAAGAGACTGCAATGGCTGGTGCTGTGCTGATCTCAAGCCAGGAGCCAGGAACCTCCTCCAGGTCTCCCAAGTGGGTGCAGGGTCCCAAGACTTTGGGCCATCCTCAAATGCTTTCCCAGGCCACAAGCAGGGAGCTGGATGGGAAGTGGAGCTGCCGGGATTAGACCTGGTGCCTCTACGGGATTCTGGCGCATTCAGGGTGAGAACTTTAGCTGCTAGGCCATGGCACCAAGCCCCAAAATCATCTTTAAGGATAGCATTGTTTTTAGCCCCCAAACTCACCTCAGCATCAATGTTCCAAATTACAGTGGTCTCACTCATCTTCGTGGGTGTGCATGGATATTTTCCCTTTTGGTCAGGATTCTGATGTACTAAGGAATTAGCAGATTTTCTGTTAACGGCCAGGTAATCCTTTTTGTGGTCCAGAAGATTTCCAGCTCAACTACCCAACCTTGCCATTGTTAGACTGAAGTAGTCATACACAATACAGCTGTTTGATGCTTGTTTACAAAATTAGATAACAAACCAGTTTGTGCTTCCCTTTCCCCTAACCTTGTCCATGTAGTACATACATTGAAAGTGATGGGAAGACCAGGTAAGTCTGAGCAGCAGCACAGCACTGGTGTCTGTGGATACCTGTGCTGGCCCAGACTTCCTGCTGGGGATCCTAGCTCCCCACGCAGTGCTGTTAGTCTTATGGGAAAAAGCCTGGTCTATTCAACAAATGCTGTTGGTTAGCAGTGTGCAGAATTGAGAAGCAAGACGCACACCTGTCACAGTATACAAAAATCAGTTCTGAATGGATCAATGACCTAAATCTAGACCCAGAAACCGTCAAACTATTAAAGGAAAACATTGGAAGCACACTCCAAGATATAGGAACAGGGAAAGACTTATTAGAAAAGACACCAAAAGCAAAGGCAATCAAAACCAAAATGAGTAAATGGAACTACATCAAACTAAAAAGCTTCTATATAGCAAAGGAAACAATTAACAAAGTGAAGAAGCAACCAACAGAACGGGAGAAAATTTTTGCACACTACACAAGTGATGGGGGACTAATATCCAGGATTTACAAAGAGCTTCAGAAACCAAGGGGGCGGGGGAAACAAAAATAAAACTAACAAAACCCTGTAACAAAATGGGCAACAGAAATGAACAGATAGCTTTCAAAAGAATAGATTCAAATGGCTAACAGACATATGAAAAGATGCTCAGGCTCCCTAGCCATCAGAGAGATACAAATGAAAACCACCTAACTCCAGTGAAACTGGCCTACATACAGAACTCAACTAACAACAGCAGCCGGTGTGGATGTGGGGAGAAAGGCATCCTCCTTCACTGCTGGTGGAAGTGTAGGCTAATACAACCACTGTGGAAATCAATATGGAGAGTGCTTGGAGAATTGCAAATAAACCTGCCATATGAGCCAACTATCCCACTCCTAGAAATATACCCAATAGAAATGAAATCTGCATATGAGAAGCAGATATGTAATCCTATATTTGCAGCAGCACAATCCACAATAGCAAAGATGTGGAAAAAACCCAGATGCGCATTCAAAGAAGAGTGGTTAAAAAACTATGGTACATCTACTCCATGGAATATTATTCAGCTATTAAGAACAATGAAATTATGCTGGAATTACTATGGAAAGTGTAACTTCAATAATCCAATCCATATTGATTTTTTTTTTGGCTGCATCCCATGTG